GGGGGTGTGGCCCGTCTCCCGGAGACTTCACCCCGTCGCGCTGACTGGAGGGGATATCGGATCTCCGGAGTCAACAAGCCGATGAGGCACGCGGACAGAAAAGGACCGCGGACGCTCCAAAGGGGGCGGAGAAACCCCCTCCCCCTTAAAGGCGCAGTCCACCTCCACACCGAGCTCACGATCAATCTGCACTCAGTCACTTTCTCCTGCAGAGCATCGCACCCCCGTGATCAGCGCGGTGCGCAGGCTCCTGCAGTGCCCCCCCCCCATAGTGAACCTGGGGAAAATGCTGCTCCGAGCTCCCACCGGTGCTGCTTACATTAAGAAAGGCACGCAGTCACATGACCTCTGCTGTAGAGCCGAACTGGACTCCGATCTTGTCCCTCATCTGTCACCACCTGACCAAGTGCCTTAGGCCTCCCCCACCTGTCAGCAGCACGGAAGGGAACCCCGGAGCAGCATGTTACCCAGCTCCGGTATCTCATTGTGTTCATCCATTTAAATGCTGGCGAGGCGCCTGCGCTGGAGCTGAGAGATCAGCACCCGAAAGGGGGGCTCCGCAGTGCAGTCCGGGCCTCATGTGCTCCCAAACCCCCCCCCCAGGCCGTCCCATTCCTCCCTGTCAGCAGATCTGGGGGGCGCAGGGTCCCGCTCAGCTGTTATATTTGGAAGCAGAGAGTGTCAGAGATCCCCTTACCCTCCGCACGCAGCGACAGGAAGATACGACGCGGGCGGGGTGACCCCTAGTGGAGGAAAGCTATCACTGCACCCTGTACAAAATATAGTCTGCGCGTCTCTGACCTCCTCCTGTACTATGTCTGCAGTCTCTGACCATCTCCTGTACTATGTCTGCAGTCTCTGACCATCTCCTGTACCATGTCTGCAGCCTCTGACCATCTCCTGTACCATGTCTGCAGTCTCTGACCATCTCCTGTAGTAGGCCTGTAGTCTCTGACCATCTCCTGTACTATGTCTGCAGTCTCTGACCATCTCCTGTACTATGTCTGCAGTCTCTGACCATCTCCTGTAGTAGGCCTGTAGTCTCTGACCATCTCCTGTACTATGTCGGCAGTCTCTGACCATCTCCTGTAGTATGTCTGCAGTCTCTGACCATCTCCTGTATCATGTCTGCAGTCTCTGACCGTCTCCTGTAGTGTCTCTGCACTCTCTGATCATCTCTTGTCGGTCTCTTTCAGCCATCTTGGGGATGTACACGTTGATGAGTAACAAGCAATACTACGACGCCATCACCTCCGGAATCATCATGAACAAGGAAGGCATCAACAGTACGTACAACGCCGCTGCCGCGGCAGAACCAATTCTGGGGGTGTGTCCTCTGCCTGGTGTTGGGTGGGAGCCCATGTACTGGTCTCTAGGTGGGAAGCGGTCTCTAGGCGGGAAGAGGTCTCTAGGCGGGAAGAGGTCTCTAGGCGGGAAGCGGTCTCTAGGCGGGAAGAGGTCTCTAGGCGGGAAGCGGTCTCTAGGCGGGAAGCGGTCTCTAGGCGGGAAGAGGTCTCTAGGCGGGAAGCGGTCTCTAGGTGGGAAGCGGTCTCTAGGCGGGAAGAGGTCTCTAGGCGGGAAGTGGTCTCTAGGCGGGAAGCGGTCTCTAGGCGGGAAGGTGTCCCAAGGCGGGAAGGTGCCCCTACGCGGGAAGCGGTCTCTAGGCGGGAAGCGGTCTCTAGGCGGGAAGCGGTCTCTAGGCGGGAAGCGGTCTCTAGGCGGGAAG